GAAACTGAAGCTCAAATACTTTGGCCACCCAATGAGAAGGGAGCACTCACTGGAGAAGACCCTGATGCTGGGAAAGATTGAAGGTCAAAGAAGACGGGGACGGCAAAGGATATGGTTAGACAGTGTCATAGATGCAACAAACATGAAATTGAGCCAACTTCAGAGGACGGCGGAAGACAGGAGGGCCTGGCGGGAGCTGGTCCATGGGGTCGCGAAGAGTCGGACTCGACTGTGCGACTGAACAACAACAACAAAGTGTTGAAATACAATATTAATCCATTTGACAAACTCTCGAGTAGTATCTCGTAGTGACACTCATCACTAATGGAGATAACATGCATGATCCGTTGTGTTGATGGCATTTAAATCACCTGGGGGTTGGAATCCCTAATATCAGACCATAAAGCATTCCTATATCAGGTTATGAATCTCCTGGCAAGAGGTTCACCCTGCGATGTATTTGGTCTGCTGTGAGCAGAGTACGCAAATGAACACTATTTGAGAATTGTACCTCTATTTTATCTTTTGTTTAAACATAACTACTTACTTCTCCAATATTGAGTAGCTAAGCATAGTATGAAAACCCTCTATCCATAGAGAACACTCCCAATGCGTCCCTTAAACGTCTTACCCCAAAGTAAGCAGCATCACGGGCGCGGAGTTTCCTTCAAGAAGAAGCCAGCAACCAATTTAGGCCTCCTATACTTACAGGCTTTTAAAAATCATCTCCAACAATAGCTAATTGTCCTGCTTGATCAGGCACACAATCTTGATTAATTATCTTGTAACTTCAAACACCAGACAAAGTTATCTGTACACACAGATGTCCTCTAAAATTATAGACATACTGTGTTGGTGCGTTCTTGCTATTTTTGATCAGAACAAAGAATATTAAAAAAAAATGTGGTGACAAGTTTTTGGTACACCTGATGGCCCCCAAACAACAAAACCCCTCTTTGAACTGTATCCTCAGTTCTATCTTTGGCTGGACATTCTCAGACACGCTTTGCACTCGGACCCTGTCATACCTGTTCACACGAGCTAAACTGTCTCTAGTCTACTAGAGGTCCCATTAATCTGTAGCTCCTCTCTTCCCTGTCCCTCTCCAAGGCTATTCTGTTCTGGGTTTCTTGTATGTCCCAGTGTTTATCAGAGAGACCAGTCCAGCCCTGATTCTGGCCTGCAGAAGAACCTTCCACATTCTTTTAAGTGAAGACCACCAACTGTTCCCTTGTATTCTTGGCTGGATTGGTGACTCCTGGGCAGTGTTCCCTCTAAGCTGAGTTAGTGTGAGCTAGCTCACAGTTTTTTAGCCTTCGGCTCACACATTTTTGTCTTAGCTCAGGAAGGAGGGCTCCAGAACAAACTAATCTATGCAGAAGCCAAATTGCTCACTCACAACTTTAATGCCAGTTGCTCACAAAGTAGAATTTTTGCTCGCAAGACTTCACAGCTTAGAGGGAGCGTTGCTCCTGGGTGACCCTTTTCTCCCTTTTTCACTGTACAAGAACTCATGGGCACTCAATAAAATTAATGAGCAGTAAATTTACAACAAATAAAAGGAAGGACTTCTTCACCCAAAAAGAAATTAACATGTGAAATTTACTGCTGCTGGAGGTGGTGGCAGCTACAAGCATAGACAGCTTCAAGAGGGGATTAGAGAAACATTATCTATCTATCTATCTATCATCTATCTATCTATCCATCTATCCATCTATCCATCTATCCATCTATCCATCTATCCATCTATCCATCTATCCATCTATCCATCTATCCATCCAGCCATCCAGCCATCCATCTATCTATCTATCTATCTGATTTATACCCCGCCCTCCCCGCCAAAGCAAGCTCAGGGCATCTTACCCAAAATAGTTAAAACAATTTGAAAACACATAAAATCTAAAGTGCAATGCATCCATCCATCCATCCCTACGCGGCGACCATCATCATCCAGTGGTTTCGTAACAGGAGTCAGTTAATACAGACTTAGTTGATGAACACAATCCAAGGGAGGCTCCAAGTTATGTCAAGATGTTAAATGTGGTCAAATGCCAGGTGGAAGAGCTCCGTCTTGCAGGCCCTGCAGAACTGAAGTAACTTCTGTAGGGCCCTGGCGTCCTCAAGGAACTTGTTCCACCAGTGTGGAGCTGCCACACAAAAGGCCCTAGCCCTGGTGATGGCCAGTCTGGCCTCTTTAGGGCCAGGGAGCACTAGGAGGTTTTGTTTCCCCCTCTAAGGAACATGTGGTAAAAGGCGGTCCCTCAGGTATGCCGGCCTCTGACCATAAAGGGCTTCATAGGTGAGAACTAGCACCTTGAAGTGAATTCGTTATGCTATAGGCAGCCAGTGCAGTGCCTTCAGCGCAGGCTGGATGTGCTCTCTCTGAGAGAGACCTGACAACAGCCTGGCCACCGTGACTTAGGCACAAAACCTCCATCTTCATCGGATTCAGTTTCAACTAACTCAGTGTAAGCCATCCAGCCATGGCTTGTAACGCCAGGTCCAGATCTTCCGGCCCAGAGTCCAACTGGCCACCCAACGACAGATACAGCTGGGTGTCATCAGCGTACTGGTGACAACCCAGTCCGTAGCTCGGAGCTATCTGGGCAATGGGGCACATATAGATGTTAAATAACATCGAGGATAGAACCACCCTTTGAGGCACTCTGCAAATCAGTGGGTGCCTTTGGGATAATTCTTCCGCAAGTGCCACCCTTTGTCCCTGGCCCTGGAGGAAGGAGGCAAGCCTTTGTAAGGCGAGCCCCTGGACTCCAGCGTCAGCAAGGCAGTGGATCAGTAACTGATGGGTGATGGTGTCCAATGCAGCTGACAGGTCTAACAACAACAGCTCCGCCATCCCACCTCCATCCAGATGTCTTCGGAGATCGTCTGTGAGGGCGACCAGTACCGTCTCTGTGCCATGGCGTGGATGAAAGTTGGATTGGAAGGGATCTATTATGGAAGCGTCATCCAGAAAATTCTCTAACTGACTTGCCACTGCCCTCTCAATTATCTTGCCCAAACAGGGCAAGTTGGAACCCGGCCGGTAGTTAGCCAATTCTGCAGATTCTATCAGGAGGAACGAGACCATCTTATACTACCCCTTCTGTCTAGATTTAGCCCTCTGCAATCTTATCTTGACTTTAGGCCAGAAGTCCTTTGTGAATTCCTCTTAGAAGACGTTCAGAGCTCAGTGACTTACGCTGTGGCAAACTTTTGTTGCTTAGCTACTAGGACACGTAAACTTATTTTAGCTGAAAAAATTGTATGATTCTCTTATTAACATTATTTTATGTTACTAATTTTATTAACTTTCTCTTGTTTATGTTTTTGTACTATTCCCATGTTATTGCTGTTTTTAATAACTCCAATTCTATTAAATTTTCCAGGCAGATCTGATGAATTTAATATCTCCCTCCCCCCTTTCATATTGTTCTAACAAAATCACCTCTAAGGTGGCCAAATTTTGCCCCTCGGCAAGATCAACAAGGAAGCAGCTGGTCAGGTCTTCTTACGAATTGTCTCTGCTATTGAAATCAGCCTGCCAGGCTGCCTGGGAATGTTATTGTTTGCAAATGTGCTGATAACTATGAGTGTCAATCGTGACTGATCTATGATTGTAACTAAGAAAGAAAGAAAGAGAGTAGTATTTCATCAACCTCCCAGAATTACAACTGATCTCCAGACCCCAGGGAGAAAATGGCTGCTTTGGAGGGTAGACTCTATGGCATTATACCCCGCTGCGGTTGCTTCTCTCCATAAACCCTGCCCCATCCAGGACCCACCCTCAAATCTCCAGATATTTCCCAACCCAGAGTCAGTAACCCTGCAAAGGAGACCCAGCCAGTGTCTTCACGGTCATAGAATTTGTTCATGGGTTTTTTTTTGGGGGGGGGGGGATTGACATCAGTCCGGATGGACTTTCCAGAGTGGCCTTCCAGGAAAACTAACTGCAGACCAGCTTTGGCTAGAAATGGTGGGGGAAATGAATGCCTCTATTGAGACTCTCTTCTGTTGCTGGTGCAGAAGCATTTGAGCCCCTTCCTTCTTATTGGGGAATCTGAATCAGTACCAAAAAAGAATGCTGGGGGAGCAAAGGAGATGGAAGGCGTTTGGTGTAGTGGTATAAGTGCGCGGACTCTAATCTGGGAGAACCGGGTTTGATTCCCCACTCCCCCACTTGCACCTGGCTGGATGACCTTGGGCAAGCCATAGTTCTGATAAGAGCTGTCCTTGAAAAAAGAGCAGTTTCTGTCAGAGCTCTTTCAGCCCCACCAACCTCACAGGGTGTCTGATGTGGGGAGGGGAAGGGAAAGGAGTTTGTGAGCCGCTCTGAGGCTCCCTTTGGGTAGTGAAGGGTGGGGTATAAATCCAATCTCTTCTTCTTCTCCTTCCTTCCTTCCTTCCAGTTTGGTGTAGTGGTTAGGAGCGTGGACTCTAATGAGGGAGAACGGGGTTTGATTCTCCACTCCTCCACTTGCACCTGCTGGATGACCTTGGGCAAGCCGTAGTTCTGATAAGAGCTGTTCTTGAGAAAGAGCCGTTTCTGTCAGAGCTCTCTCAGCCCCACCTACCTCACAGGGTGTCAGTTGTGGGGAGGGGAAGGGAAAGGAGTTTGTAAGCCGCTCTGAGACTCCTTTGGGTAGTGAAGGGCCATGGGGTATAAATCCAATCTCTTTTTCCCTCTCAGCCCCACCTACCTCACAGGGTGTCAGTTGTGGGGAGGGGAAGGGAAAGGAGTTTGTAAGCCGCTCTGAGACTCCTTTGGGTAGTGAAGGGCCATGGGGTATAAATCCAATCTCTTCTTCTTCTATCTGCAAGCAAGGAATATGATCCCCGGGAGGCCCAGGCAGGCATCCAGTCCCGACTCCTTCCCAGAGGTTGGCAGAAGCCACGCCTGGCAGCTGGCCAAGTGCTTGCTTGCTGCCAGGGACAAGTGGGGCCTCTAAAGCCTGAACTTTGTTCCCATCTCCTCCCCTTGGCTCTGCTGCAGGGGAAGAAGGGGGCGAGAGTCCAGCATGGCCGTCCGAGAGAACTCCAGCCCGAGCTGCCTCTACGACGCCGTGGTGGTGGGAGCCGGGATCCAGGGTTCCTTCACCGCTTATCACCTGGCCAAACGGGGACAGAAGACCCTCCTGCTGGAGCAGGTATAGATGCCCCCCCCTGCCCTGCGCAACGTAGGTCCCAAAGGAAAGGGGGAAGTCCGCTTCACGCGGCCCGTGTCACCTCTCCCCACACCTTCTGGCGCTGTCGGCGTTCTGTGGTGCGTCTCTCGGGTCACTTCTCCCCCCCCCCTCCAGCGGTGTTAAATGGGTCGAAAGCTGCCAACCCCTTTCCCCCTTCCATGCATGCTTAGAAATGAGGCAGCGATCCACAAATGCTGTTTTGCACCCCCACATTTCCAGGGTCCATTCCGGAGTCACCCCAAATATTTGGATCACTGCCTTCCCCATTAGACCCAGTTTGGTGTAGTGCTTAAGTGCGCAGACTCTAATCTCGGAGAACCGGGTTTGATTCCCCGCTCCTCCACTTGCACCTGCTGGATGACCCTGGGCAAGCCATAGTTCTGTCAGAGCTGTCCTTGAAAAAGAGCAGTTTCTGTCGGAGCTCTCTCAGCCCCACCCACCTCACAGGGTGTCTGTTGTGGGGAGGGGAAAGGAAAGGAGTTTGTGAGCCGCTCTGAGACTCCCTTGGGTAGTGAAGGGCAGGGCATAAATCCAATCTCATCCTCCTCTTCTTCTTCTTTATTCTTATTTTTTTAATATCAAGAAGAAGAAGAGAAGAGATTGGATTTATACCCTGCCCTTCATTACTCAAACGAGTCTCGGAGCAGCTTCCTTCCCCTTCCCCTCCCCAGAACAGACACCCTGTGAGGCAGGTGGGGCTGAGAGAGCTCCGACAGAAACTGCTCTTTTTCAAGGACAGCTCTGACAGAACTATGGCCTGCCCAGGGTCATCCAGCAGGTGCAAGTGGAGGAGTGGGGAATCAAACCCAGTTCTCCCATATTAGAGTCTGCGCCAATGCTCCCTCTAAGCTGTGGGTTCCTGTGAGCAAAAGTTCTACTTTGTGAGCTACTGGCATTAAAGGTGTGAGCGAGCGATTTGGCTATTGCATAAATGAGTTTGCTCTGGAGCCATCTTTCCTGAGCTAAGACAAAAATGTGTGAGCCGGAGGCTAAAAAACTGTGAGCTAGCTCACACGAACTCAGCTTAGAGGGAACACTTAACCACTACACCAAAATGGTTCTCAAGACATCAAGACCTGGGAATCCTCATTAGATCTTTGAATGCAGGAAGATGCCCTTTTCATGTCCTTTTGGCTTTTGGATGTTCATTTTACCCCTATTCTTTGCTGCCCTTCTGGTTTTCATCCATGCCGTCTCTATTCATGCAACACACCGGCATGGATTTTAACAGTAGTATTTTTGTCACATTTCCAGAGTTGGGGGTGGGGGGGTGTCGGCAGTTTCGTGCCAAGAGGGGAGGAGCCTCATGACCACCTGGGCATTTCCAAAAGGAACAGGTTGGCCACAAAGCCCAGGGCCAGGCCAGTGTGTGGCGTAGTGCTTAAGAATGCTGGACTAGTGAATGGGAGACCCAGGCGGGAATTCCCACTCGTGCCATGGAAGCTGGCTGGGTGAGCTTGGGCCAGTCCCGCATTCTCAGCGTAACCCACCTCACAGGGTTGTTGTGAGCGTAAAATGGAGGAGAGGAGAATGATGTGAGATGCTTTGGGTTCTCTTTGGGGAGAAAGGCGGGGTAATTTTAACCCTAAAATCCTAATTCCCTTCCAGTTCCCTCTGCCCCACACGCGGGGGAGTTCCCACGGGCAGAGCCGCATCATCCGCAGTGCCTACCCCCAGGACTACTATGTGGCCATGATGAAAAGGGCTTATCAGCTGTGGGCAGAGCTGGAGGCTGAGGCTGGTACCCCACTCCAAAGGTGAGACTCCTCACGCATGAGGCCCTGAGAGGCACCTGAGCACTGGGGCCCAGTTTCAAAAGGGAAAGGGAGGCCAGACTTGCTGGGAAACCACATTCCCCAGGCGATATCACACGATGGCAAGAGATCGGCACTCTGCTCCTGCCAAGAGAGGCTCTCTTTTGTTAGAGGACTCCAGCCTTTAATGAGCAGATCACTCAGTGCAAAGTTGTTGTTGACTGGGGCCGGGTTCAAGGAATACCTTGGTTAAAACAACCCGTATATGCTCTGAAGTTCGCTATCTGTTCCTGTTCACAAATACCAGTGAGTCAGTGTGGTATGGTGGTTAGAGTGTGTCCAGCTAGGATCTGGAAGAACCAGGTTCGAATCCCCACTCCCCCCATGGAAACTTGCTGGGAGACCTTCAGCCACTCACACACCCTTGGCCTAACCTACCTCACAGGGTGGGTGTTTGTGTGGCTAAAATGGTGGCGATCGCATGAGGGCTGGGAAATACCTGGAGATTTGGGGGGTGGGGCCTGGAGAGGGCAGGATTGGGGAGGGGAGGGACCACAGCAGGCTAGAATGCCATAGAATTCCCCCGCCCCCCCAAAAAGCAGCCTCTTCCTCCAGGAGAACTGATCTTGATCATCTGTCGATCAATTGTAACAGTGGGAGATCTCCAGGTGCCACCTAAAGGCTGGCACCCCTGCCAACCAGTTATGCCCCTTCCACCCCCGTGCAGGGGGATTCCCTCGATTTCAGATCTGAAATCCCCCCCCCCCCCCCCCACATGCTCCCTCCCCCCCCATAAGAAGAAACACCAACATGCTCCCTGGCCCACAGCAAGATGAGACAGATTCTTCACATAATTTATTTGACTCTCTAAAAGAAGAGCCATTAAGGAAATACGCATCTAAATGATTTTTCATCTCGCCAGGGTCAGCTGTAATAGACCCATCCATCTTATTAGCCAGGAACCACGGAAAAGCCCGGCTGCCTTGCTGAGGCCAGCTCCATCCTCGGGACCAGAAGGGATGCTCCTGCGGCCTGCCGTCTAGGCTCTGTGGGGACCAGTCTCGCCCCAGATGAAGCTCAGGCCGGCCCGGATCAGGGACACGGAAGGGGCTAAGCTTAGCATTGCGAAACCTTCCATTCCAGTTCCTTGTGCAAAATGAAACCAGGGGCGCCTTCATCTCCGCACCATTTCCTGCTTTTAACTGCCTGTTACATTTACACATTCTTAGCTTTGTTTTCAGCTTGCCTGTTACATTTACACATTCTTAGCTTTGTTTTCCTGTTATTTGGGCTTCCGAGGTACAACACAAAAGTCATGTAAAACCGGGGCTCAAAGAAACATGTAGATCAAGAACACCAGCCCGAAGGAGGGGCGAAAAGACAACAGCTCTGAAAGGACATCCAAGAGAGAGAAATGGAAATGGGCCTTCCTAAGGGGAGGGGGGGCAAATATCTTCCCAGAGTAAAAGGGAGAGGTGCCAATAGAAGCAGGGGAGGGGCTGGACCCAAACCTGCTTGTTTGCTTCTGTTTTAAATGTTAAAATTTACAAACCCCACAGGCAAATAAATTTAGAGAAAAGGTACAGAATTTTGAAAAAACGGAGCTCACATATACACTGAATAGGAGGTGTTGGGTTTTTTTCAGTTTAAGAAAAAAGGGGGGGTCTCAAAAGGGGTCAGGTGACCACTTGAAATAATTGTTTAGAAGCACCAATGTCCTAGGGCAGTGGTGGCGAACCTATGGCACGGGTGCCAGAGGTGGCACTCAGAGCCCTCTCTGTGAGCTCGCGTGCCATCGCCTCAGCCAGGCCCAGAACATCATTAAAGTGTGGAATTCTTCGCCAAATAATTTTAAGTACATGAAATTGCTTTCCTTACTTTGTTTGGGTCATCTTGTTAAAGTATGAGTTGTTTTTTTCTAAAGTAAAACCTCAGTATTCAGGTTAAATTGCCGTGTTGGCACTTTGCGATAAATAAGTGGGTTTTGGGTCGCAGTTTGGGCACTCGGTTTGCCATCACTGTCCTAGAAAGAGTTTTCAGTTTGTTTCCTTCTTTTTGCCTGGGGCCAGTGTTTGCCTACAGACCAACCTCTGGGCCACAGAGTCTTTCTCCCTCAATGAAAGGTGAGTCAGGCGAGACTCGACCTGGACGACCCAGGCTAGCTTGATCTCTCAGATCTCAGAAGCTAAGCAGGGTCAACCCTGGCCAGTATTTGGAAGGGAGTCCACCAAGGAATACCCAAAGATGCGGATCCAGGCAATGGCAAACCACCTCTGAATGTCTCTTGCCTTGAAAACGGCATGAGGTTATCAGAAGTCAGCTGTGACTTGACGGCACAAACTGCGAGGGGGGGGAGACTTGGGATAGTTGGGGTGGGGCAATGCCTCTGAGCACATACAGAATCGTGCATTCCGGCTCTGAGCAAGGAACTGAAAACAGGTTCTGGGGTTGAGCTGTGACATGCAGGAGCTCTAAGGCAGATCCCTCCGGCTGTTCTCCAAGGAGCTTTATGGTAAGGTATTAAGAGAGGCATCACACCCAGGGGTCATTTCATAGAAAAAGAGGTGCAGGAGCTCATTAGCAGAACTCATTAGCATAACTTATTTGCATATGCCACACTCCCTGACAGCACCGGAAGTGTGTCAGAAGGCAACACCCACAGCTCAGGCTCCACTGGACTGTTTTGGATTGCCAGCTATGCGGGGGGGGGGGGACGTGCAGATCTGTCCTCGCAGAGGAGGGAGAGCTTGTACCTGAATAAAACTTGGTCTTAACGGTGCCACTGGACTGTTTTGGACCGGGGGGGGGGCTCTGCAACTTACCTGGCTGCTTCTTGCTCTGACTGAGGGCTGCTGGGAGCAGGGGGTGGGGCTTGTTGCATGTGCCCGCCCCCTGGGCTCTTTACTGACAGAGCTCTGCTCCTGTGCGCTCCTGCAGGAAATGACCCCTGATCACACCACGTCATCCTCAGCATTTGGGAAACGCTTCCCACGTGGTATGATACAGGTTGCCCGCAGGCAGCCACACTGCCCCCAAAGCGAACTCAAAAGACAAAAGTCACCCGAAACCTTTCACCAAAATGAAACAAGGCATCCCACGCACCTGATGTGTGTCATCAGAGTGACCAATGCAACTGTCTTGTGTGACACTTATCCTGACTGCAGGTGGGAGGGGGACGGAGAGAGTGGCTTGCAGAGATGGTGCTTGTGACAGAACTGACCTGGAGGAATTCCCAAGCCGCATCTTGTTCTCTTTGCCACTCTGAGGCCAGTGGTTTTTGTCCCCAAAGCACGC